AGTACTTGTGTTTTTGATGATTGCTGTAATTTGTAACATTTTTGTTTACTTTCTAATATTGAAAACTGCAAAATTACGTTGAGTTGTCGCGACAGCAAAATCCTGCGAAGATCAGCCTCAAAATTCCGTTGTCATCATTTGATTGTCATTGATTCATATGACATAACATTATTCGCTTGGTGTGGGGCTCCAGTAATCCATCAACAAATATCGAAGGTCATGACAAGCGCTCGTCCCGTTGTAAAAAGCAGTTATATGATACTTTTTATGCTAAGTTAGAAGAGCTACAGAAATTGCAAGCTTTGCAAATTTGGCAGAACAATACTGATATCGAAATATGACGAGAATATTGCGCACTATTCTTACTGCAATAGTATAGATCGCGTACAAAAACGCGTTTTACGAGCATACGGCCTAAAAACGTCGGAAGTGACCTCGTATATGTCAACATTAAACATCTGATAGACACTTATCGCATGGCGAAGATCAGCAAACCCCACACAGCAAGGTTATTGACCACAAACATTACACAGGTAAGGCACTTCCCAGAAGGTCTCGGCACAGGTGGCTTATAAGCAAGCTAGATATTGTTTTTGGGGACAAAAAGCGAAGGGGATATCGCTTTTGTGCTTCTTTAGTCGACGTCTTTTTAGACGATTCGGCTACTTAGGATAAGGGTCAAAAGGGAGTTCATAATTTTGCGAAAGTTAAGGGACTTTTTTGGATTTTGGAAGAACCATGTTGTCCAGCCCTAGTTTCCACTATTGTGCCTATAGTAGCGCGAACGATCGACTATCGAGAAGGACGTCTAGTGGAGGGATCTTGAACTCAGGAAGAAACGGGAAATTCTTATCACATGCGCTCCCCACCAATCGTTTTTTTTATTAAACCATTCAAAAATTTTGTTTTGCACTAATTCACGTGCTTCAGCATTTTGTGATTGCTGTTGTTAGAGTGATGGTAGAATTATTAACACATTGACGACAATGTGACCCAATGGTGGGTAATGCAATGACTGTGGTTTTAGAAGTCGTGTTATGCTTTATTCCTAGGAATTACTTCCGCGTTTCTTAGCTGCTTCTCAAAATCACTGTAGGGATACTGCAGATAACGGCCGGTTTATTTCAGCTAAAAATACTCAATTTACTGTAGATGGGACTGTCCCACAAGGCAGACAGCTAAAAATGTACGCTGTCGTCAACGTGTTAAGAAGCTAACGGTACCTATAGAATGCGACGGGTTGGATTTGCGGTTTCCCTTTTTTCAAAATTGATGTGGTCCCGAACTTACCGGTTCAGTAAGCTCTGATTTACTAGCTTCCCGTTATTCACAAACACACTTAGAAGATTACATTCTTATGATAAGAATTATTGGCATCAAGATGAAGTAATTTTTACGTTTTGCAACAGAGATGCCAGCTCGTGCTCGTAAATCGGCTATATCCAGCTCCGCGCAGAACAGGAACGTAATGTGAGCGTTTCAAATTCACAAATTATATGTAAAAAAACTAAATTATCATGAATAATTCAACGACTAAGGGATTTGTGATCAAGAATGGATTCTGAAGACGGTCTTAGAAAGCCAATGTGGTCACACTCTAGAGAAGAATAAGGAGCGAAAATGGACGAAATGGCAGTGCTTATGCTCGAGATTTTTTTCTGTCACTCAAATTCTAGAAGAATCATTGCAATAAGAATTATCCACCTAGAACAAATCTAGCGAGCCTTTGAAAAACCGAAACTGCTTGCAATGCTGAAGATCTACCACACAATTCCAGGCACCAAGTAGTAATAATGCTGAAAAAAAAACGTCAAAAACGACCAAATTCTTAAAGGGTGTTGGGAGTGAAAATTCACTCATCTATACCAAAGTTACCCTCTTTGTCTAATCTCACAAAGGTCATATCGCTAACGTAACAGACGAATCGGCAACAGTTGTATACCTAAGAGATAGCCCATCTCTGCTCCGCAATCGGCACGGCAATCGGCCTTTTTGCGCGAGTTGCACCATAGTTTCCTATATGGGGGAGAAGCTGGTCTAGTGTTTTTGTAATTACAAGCTATTGTTTTAGACTATCCGAAGAGATTATGGTAGTTTGTCCATTCTAGTTTCGAAGAAAGGCCCTTATTTTAACACAGAGAATAGAATGAAGAGCCCTAAGCGGATACACTGTAAGGCTGCAGAAGCGAATGTGAAGCGATGCACGATGAAATTCTTATGTTTCACTGAAAGACAGAATGAAAACATTTTGATGTGGAACGATAGCGGAACATGATTAATGCTCTTTATTGAGCTAAGACCTGGAAAAATGTGGAAATACGACTTGAATTAGCTCCTTTTTGTTCAAATTCAATGGTTTGCATGATGGTACAAGATCCGGCTTTTCTCGTTATCACCAGCACTAACTTTGAAAAAAGCTTGCTTTCAAAATCAACGAATGCTCATCATGACATTTATGTGCATTTTTGCATATGCCAGTGAATTTTGGCACTATGATAGAGGTGTAATAAACAACATCCGTAAATAATATAGTGCAGTAGCTTTCTTTACTGCATTTTCTTGAGTCTATAGCTTCATTCTCAAACGCAAATGATTTTTAAAGAACACTCAGTTCAGTTTGAGGAAGTAGAAGCAGTAAAAAAATTATTTCCGTATCGCATCAGGATAGAAAAATCTTCCTAGTATTAAGTTGGAACAGAAATCTTGCGCCAAAAACAAAAGAATTCCCTCAAAAATGCTTAGTAGCGCTTCGATCTGTAGTATTTTTCATTTTAAATAATCAATGCAGTAACTTATCGTGGACTTTAGAGTTTATCTCGAACAATATCAGACTCGGAAATGAAAATTTTCTCCACTTATTGTATAGACGTTATATCAGCGCAAATTTAGTTTGGTTGGGAAACTTAGATTAAAAATCTTAATTAAAACAGTGTGTTTGGAAAGTTTTGGGTTTTTCGCATTTTTGGGGTCAAAAGCTGGAAAAACGTAGTTTGAGTGCTTGTATTCAATGGATTTAATTTATGCGATATGGCAATGTTGACTCTTACTTCAAAATTAATCAGAAAGTGTAAGACTTTCTTTCTCTAAATTATATTATTCAGATAGATTAATTGAACCTAGAGAAGATCACGAAATTTCAAAAAGTTTTGGTGCAAGACTTGTTCCAACCTAGTAGCTTTGGAGGAAGATCTGAATTTTTATGCAACACTGAAATTATGTTGTCTCAAAAAAGTCAAAATGTTGAAAAATTCTTCCTTTTACAGAGTGATGTTCTTCTCTTCTAATCTCCTCTACAGTTTAGCTAATTTAAGCCCCACCAATTTTCTCAAAAAATTCGAAATTTGAAAGGTTGAAGAAAATTAGAGAAGCAGACATGCAAAATTGAATCATCATTACCGTCAGCATAATGCTTCTGTACATTCAGAAGAACATTCCTTTTTCTGCAAATTGGAAATATTTGAGTGTGTTCAAAGACACATATCGCGTGTCATTTTTATTCCGGAACACAGACGAATTGCGAAAATTCCGTATAGACATAAAGGTGACGGTTTCACTCATAAATTCGAAATTCACTCATATATATTTGAAAAAGCGCTGCTGATAAGATGTGTGTATGCGCAAGAACTGGAAGTGACTAAGTGATTCTTGAGAGATGAACATATTTACAGAAGAGCATCGTCCGGAACGGACGCGCGAGAATTTCCACGATTTTTTCCAACAAAAAGTGCATGAAAGCCACTAGTGCTAGAGTGGACACACAAGTTTTTATTAGGGAAAGGCTAGAAAAGTCGAAAGTTCAGCGTATGCGTAAAAATGATGGAAAGAAAAAGCAAATAATCAGCTGAGCTGATCTTTTGTGATTTTTCAATAAAAAATTAGAAATTATTTTTTTTTATAATTTTCAAAAACATGGAATGGGATGTTGGTCAGCAGATGTCCAACACGAGATGAATGAGGACTCAGTAATTGAAGCGAAAAAATCTTAGGTGATCGAAAATCACTTATAAATAATCAATCAATCAATCAGTCAATCAAATAATCAATTAATCAATGATGGAATGAATGAATGAATGAATGAATGAATGAATGAATGAATGAATGAATGAATGAATGAATGAATGAATGAATGAATGAATGAATGAATGAATGAATGAATGAATACTGAATGAATGAAATGAATGACTGACTGAATTTTTAACAATTTTTCCATTTCTTGTAATCTCTAGATTTGCAATCTGAATTCCCAGTTTCCCAGTCCATTTCTTGCAATCTCAAAATCAAAGGAATTACCAATTTGAAAGAGCGACCTGGTAGACATTAAGAGATTGCAAGAATTCTCTTTCAAATTAGGAATAGATTGCAAATTTAGAGATTGGAAGAAATGGAAAAATTGTTAAAAGTATTTTCCGTTTGGGGGAAGCATACGTCTGATAGCAATTTTATATTGTTAGAAAACGTGTAATTAAGCAGTTTCGGCAGCTCACTTTGTTCCACTCAAAAATTAGAAAATTTTTAAAAATAGAAGTTCATCCTCCAATAGTAATTTTTCATTTACGAATCATAAACCGTCACTTTATATCGTCAAAGAGATTTCATGAAACAATGAATTTTTTTCAAAATAGAGAGTGTTCATTGCGGAAATCAAAGAAATGAAGAAGAATCAAATTTGGTTGAAAAAATCTGCGAATTCGATTATTGCTGCACAAAGAACAAGCAGCGATTTACTTTGAAAAAAAAACAGAGAAAGGAGGGAAGTATAGCGCCTTTTCTTTCCTTTAAGAAGTCTTATTTATAATACTAGCTGAGTGGTAGAATATGGTAATTCTAAGAAGGGAGGCGCATTTCGAAAAAAAAACCTGGCTTTACAGGTGGAAAAATAGCGAAGGAAAGTGGTAAAATCTCTGTCGCAGTAGTGACGCAGCCGACGGGCACTCGCTGCGTCACCTTTTGCTATTGTATTTCTCCCCAATGGCGGTGAAAACATCGAAAAAATCACTCACTGCATCAGTTTCCACTCGGATCACGTGTCCGTCCATCTGAAGAACTCTCATCACGTCGTCGGTGAAGGCGTTTCGTAGCGATGCCGGTACGCTTCGACGTCGCCACTTGTCGGACTGAAGATTTCGTAGATCGTTTTTGATCGTGGGATAAATCAACACAGGGCAGGCAAAGCGGGGGGGGGGGGGCGAGGGGGCTGCTCTGGCCCTCTTGAGATGAGTCCCAAGCATCAAAGATCAAAATTTTAGATCCAAATGGCTACCTGACGATCACGACGACGCATGAATACAGTGCTTGAGGTGGTGCTCTCACTCATTGGCTCTTTCGTAAATATCTAAAAAATCACTTACTGTAAATCTAGGTGTACGGTGAGGGTAAACGAGCCAATCTACCTGTTCACTAATTTCTTGATCGGATTCACTGGATGAGGAGCCGTAGCCGGAAGAAGCAGAAGCAACTTGAGAGGTTTTCTTTGGTGGTGGGTCCAAGTCCAACTGAAATTATTCTGTAATTATCCTATCATTGTTTTGCATAATTATTTCAATACTGATGATTCTCTTACAAGACAATGGAAGATAAAATATAGTGAATGGCTTTTTGTGTTGGAACCTCGCTTTTTGCAATCACTTGCGAAATTTATAATTTTGATAAGCCTTATATTTGTATGCATGGAATCAGTTCAAGACATTTTCCCGTTTCATTTATTCCAGAAAAAGCATTCAATGCATTTATTCAAATCAATATCATAAAGGTTCACATTCGAGGACTCTGAAACGTGGTGGATTAAAGTCTTGACGTCATTTAGATATTTGTTCCAAAATTCATTGGACTGCATCTCTTCTTATAAAATAAATTTGAAATACAAGAGAAAGAGATCAGAATTTTCAAAGCATTACCGAAATTGTTTATTCTTTGCAGAGGGTGGTCTGCGTTAGAAAATAAAAGCAGAACTGGTCATGCAAAAACCAGCATCTCGCTCAACCTTTTTTACATTTTTACTATCACATGCTTTCTATGCAATAAACACATTGACTTTTTGTTTGCACTTTCCCTTTCAAACCCCACTTTTTGTAAAGTGTGGGCAAATTGAATAATGCTTTAAAAATCCTTATCTCCTTTGAATGTCCGTAATGATGCTGAAAGGCATACTATACGAAAAATTGCGGTCTGATAAATATGATAAAAAAACTTTCCGAGTGAATTCATTTTCACTTACTCCGTTCAATCATAGCCAGGGCTCGGCACGAGGTGGCTAGATGAAAATGGAAAAAACGAAGTCCCCCTTGACTTTTGGGAATTTTTACGAAGTCCCCTTTGACCCTCAACCAAATTTCCTCTAAAAACCTGAAAAATTCCCCAAAACCCTCGCAAAAACGAAACGTCGACTAAAAAAAAAGAAAAAAAAAGGTCGCCGTCGCCAATTTTCCGTGTATCTTCGGTCACAAAAACGAAACCCCCTTTGCTTTTCGTCCCAAAAACGATATCCAGCTTGCTTGTAAGCCACCTCGTGCCGAGCCCTGATCATAGCGCAATGAGAACCAAAGAATATAAATTTTTAGGATGGACATTTGAGATTTTCTGTGTAATTTTTTGATGCATCTAAGCTTTGAATAAAATTCTCATAGTTTGGTAGTTATTTGGTTGATGCATAATTCACAACATTTTTTGAAATCTTATTACTTCCTCCAGCTTAAAGGAAATCTTCTGATTCGATGCATAACACAGGGAGGAAATCTTGCTTTTTTGCATGTTTTCGAGTCAAAATTTCTCGAGTACATATAACGTGGCGACGGTATGAACTGAATAAGAAAAACACCCAAAAAGTGATTTTCGATTTTCGGTCATTGAAGATCTACTAAAATTTAGGTTTATTTTTTTAGGTCTCGGGACATACTCTTTCTAAAGGAAGTTGGTAGTGATTGGATGTCTTTGCGAATACTTACAAATTTCGAGTATTCTGAATTAACTTATTGATTTTGTTTCATATTGATTTTTTGAAATGCATTACAAAATTCCACTTTTGATGTACATAATAAAGGGCATATTTTCTATTTGATTGGATTGTTTGAGCATTTTTAAAAGATTTTTTCAATTTTTTTGGTGAAGAATTGTGCATCAACTTAATACAAATTAAGAGGTGAGGAGTAGCTACCAGAATTCAATGATTGAACACATTTCGCCATATAAAATATAAGAGTATAAAGATGTTTAGTGGAATTCCCAATTTGAGTGAACATTTTCAATTGGGAGTCTTTTATTGAAAGTGCGTGAAGGAAGCGAAGCGTTAGATGTGAAAGTAATGGAAGAATTGCGAACAAAGTGTAGAAAGTTACATATATACCAGTTCGATAGAAAAAATGGGAACCAGTTTGGCCAATCATTTTTATTTCTTGAGACGACTTCACGAACAAAAGAAAACTCGACCAGCAACCGTTTACTGCCAGAAAACCCATACTTCATGGTGCTTGAGTACAGCATTATTACTGTTTTTCGAACTTTGACAAGAAAATTACAGACTGCGTGTGAAAGTTGTGAAAGGACTGAGAGCAGAGAATAGAAATGTTGTAATTGTTATTTTTATTGCAGAGCAATTTCGTTGAGGACCCGACAATCTTCGGTAAAATATAGAATTCAGGAAAAATATATATTTCCAAGAAGAAGCCATGAAAACTCGCATGCTAGAGAATGATAGCATACAAACATTACGATAGAAAATTTTTGTTGTGCATCCAAGGGATAATGAACTGAGTCTAATCTAAAGCTGCACTAGAGGTACCAGCCCCAAACAAGTTACTATTTCCATTGTATTATATATGAGGAACATGTTCTAAGCATTATGTACCTACCAGTGGCGGTCCGAGAAATTTTTTTCGGGGGGGGGGGGCGCGACAAAAATTTTTTTCTAAAGAAGGTGCGTGGCGTCAGCCACGCCCCCGAAAAAAATTTTTTTATAAGGCTAAAATGAATTTTTAAAAAATTTTAAAAATTATTTCAATTATTTTCAAGTGCAAACAAGTCGTTTGCACATTTTTACAGCCTATATAGGTAAGTTTCAAAAATTTCGCGACCCATTCTCGGGGGGGGGGGGCGCTCCCCCGCCCCCCCCCCCCCTCGGTCCGCCACTGGTACCTACTAGTTACGTAGATGCACACTGCCAAAATGACACAGTTGATTATTTTTTTGCCTCAGCTTTACTTCCTTTTTGAAAGCAAAAAGGTGTTCGACGTGCAAAAAAAATTCGAAAATGGACCCCTGGATCTTTAACCCATTGACGACGATGTGGACAACCGGTGGCCCACGGTTTTTGCCGCCAGGGACGATGCGGACCACCGGTGGCCCACACTTCTTTAAAACATGTTATTTGTAGGTCTAGTATTTTTTCCACACATTGATATTTTCTCCAGCCTTTTTTGCCTGATGGGGCCTGTACGCCCCATTCGTGCAAGATAATGTTTATAATTGTTTACAACACAACCTTGCATTCGTCAATAATCACAAAACCTTCCCACACTGAAAGTGTCGTGCAAAATCGCGTCGTTCCACACCGCCGCCACGCACAATTAGGCGTCATCGTCAATGGGTTAAGGAATACTTACCGCATTCAATGCAACAAACACACCAGACTCTATAAAACATCACAAAGTTTCGACCCTACTTTCCCCTCCGTTTTTGACCTCTCTCCCCTCCCCCCTCCTCCATAGAACCGGGTTGATTCAAATAGTACTAAATTTATTCTTACAGGGACTATGCTTTTTTCTTCAATCTCTCCGTTATAGTCTTGTGAGCATAAAATTACAATATTAGATCTTCTATGCAATTTCCACTGAATTCTATCCTCATTTATTTCATTTTAATTGGCGGAAACTTCATTGTTAGCTAAAGATTCGTCCTACCTTCATAAAAGCCAAAATCAATATGTTTAGCTAGTAATTTGGGGTTCCCTTAGTACACTTCCTCTATTTCAAAGTGTATTTTCAGTGTTTTTGCCTCACTTTCGAATCCATTCATTCATTTGCTCGGTCTTTAACAATAAGCCAGCAATTCGTAGAGTAGTATGAGCACACATAACCTCACTTGTTCATCTTCTTACAATCTTTGTTTGTATAGTCTTTCATGCGTGCTCTTTCTTACCCTTTTCTTTTTGCCTTTTACCCATTTTTCTCTTCTCTCTTTTCCATTCAAACAAACGTCTATTTATTCGCAATCTCCAACCAATCCATTGTCATTCACTCAATTAAAACTACGCCCTATTAGTCACTTTCTTTTTCCAGTTCCTTTTCATTCTCACACTCCAAGGCTTTCTTGAAGCTGTGTTCTTCCTTTCACTCTCAACGCACTTTGAAAAAAAGAAGTCTTGTTTGATACCTAGTTTTTTTATTTCACCAGTTTTTCTACAGGAAACACCGACTTTGCAGTGCTCTTGAGATTCTAATCTCTTCATGTTTTGACACCATTGATCACTCAATGAAAATATTTGGAAAGGGAAACTTAAGCAGATTATCCTTGGATATTTGGGGGTAGCATTCTGTTTTGCAAACGCATCCCAGGTTTTCTCATCTCAGAAATGCTTAAACCAAGTATCATACAAATCACAGAGCTTCAATTCGTGGATCTGCAAAACAGTAAATGTGCAGTTTGGGAGATAAAAGCTTCGCTTTTTGGGGCCTTCCAGGTGTGAAATGCTTGTCAAATATGAAAATGATCGATAATCGGTTATGGACCATGTAACATTGGCGTTGAGAAGTACCTAATGCAGCAAAAACTAAAAAAATCAGCGTTTTATGTTGAAATGAAAGCGTCTTTGTTTCGAACTGTGTTTTTTCGGATAAGGGATTTTCAATTTTTGAACAATCGGTAGCTTCATTAAATAATCGCTACATCAAAAATCTCGCAAATCACATTTCAAATGCCTTTGCATGAGCGAGAGTAATAATCAGGTGAGAAAGCATTTTGAGTGAGATGTTTATATTTAGTGCCATTAAGTGCTGAACTTGATTTACCCATTTTATTTGGTTTTTTTTTTCGCGTCTGTGCGTTTTCCAGAAATTCGTTGAGAGTCAGAGTTAATGATACAACATTGATTACATTTCCAATCAGACTTCACGAAAGAACTGACAGGAGAATGGTCAGAAGTCGAAGTGGACGATCCGAACATGCTGCATACCATGAGAGCAGCATAAAACACTGATTCTGAATTTGTCTTCCTTATCTGCTGATCATTTTTGTGGATGAAGTTATGAGCCGTTAAAGTTCGTTATTTTGCTAAGAAATCATATGTGCAAAGGGCAAACCTGGCCGTACAGCGCCATATTCGGCTTAATACTGGACCAAAAACATGCAGTTAGGTTACTTCATGTAGCCCATACCCAAAGGTGAACTAAAAGAGCAATGACGTGCTTAATTTCGCAATCTCATGTACGATTTGTCCGCAGTAAAAATGCTCATAACTTTGCCTACAATGGCTTACTGCACATATAAAAGACATATTTGAGACCAGCGTTCTATGCTGCATCGAAAGGTATGCAGCTTGTCAGGATTGGCCACTTCGACTTCAGATCATTACTTGAGAAAATCAACCAAAGTTTTGAGGAGCTTCAAAAAGCGAAAGCGAACATATGCTGCTTATGACAACTGCGCATGTAAAACCACGATCAGCAATTATAAGACTTTCCAGTTTTCATTTCGAAAAAAAACTTTCACATGCTGACACCGCACTTTCCAACGGCACCAGACATTTTCTAGACATGGGCAAGGCAATTACCTTCTCCTTGTTGCAAACCTGAACCTGTACTGTAATCTTTCCTTCTTTCGCTCGTCCTTTGAAGTGAGGCGTTTCATGCCGCGTATTGCAGAAGAATTGACATGTGTGAGAGAAACGAAAAAGCACAAGGCAATGAGCAAAAATATTTTACAAGTTCGTGTTGTTGTAATGATGCAACCGACCGTAAAAAACTCAATTTATACGGGGTTTCTACTTTGATAACGATTATTCAAGCCAACATTGGGTTAGGCCATATTGTAGACGCCACATGGCACAAAATGGTAGGTCTGCTATCGTTTTCAAGAGAAAAAACCAAAGGATACCATGTTTTCTTTGGGCCACAGTAACAAAAAAATGTACAGAGTGTGCTCTAATCGCTAAAAATGCAAAGAATATTTGAGTAGTATTAGGTTGTTACATAAGTCTTGTTACACTTCAATTTTCACGGCGATAAGTCATGCACTTCACATTCTTTACAGGATACTATTCGATAGAGCAAAAGCTCTACAAGACAGTTTGCAAAAGTTCGCACCAGCTCCGATCCACCGTAAGTTTGCATCCAAAAACTGAGTCGTATTGGAGGCTCGAAAAACCGCAAAAAATTCATATCTTTGTTTAAAAAATCCTACGAATCTCCAACTTGCTCATAAAAATTGCACACTATATTAGACACTCACACATACCGTTGCTGTATTTTTTCTCATTTAGAAATCGAGAAAATGAAAATTTTCTTCTTTTTACAAAAACCTATGCTGTTTCTATTCATGTAGCTGTATACTACAAGTCCTTAGAAGTATAACCGTAACCGTAAATTTTCAACTTTCCAGAAGCCCTAGTTTTCGGAAAATACCTAATTTAGCATTGAATACCCAAGTGAAAAAAGCTAAATTTGGTATTTTTCGATACCTAGGGCCTCTGAAAAGCTGAGAATTTACGATTATACTTCTAAGGGCTTGTGGTAAACAATTACATGAATGGAAATAGCATAGCTTCGTTTTTGTAAAAATAAGAAAATTTTCGTTTTCTCGATTTCTAGGGAGAAAATACAGCAACGGTATATGTGAACGTCTGATATAGTGTGCAATTGTTATACGCAACTTGGAGATCCCTGAAATTTTTTGAACGAAGTTATGAATTTTTCGCGATTTTTTGAGCCTTCTATACGGCTCAGTTTTTGGGTGCAAACCTGCGGTGGGTCGGAGCTAGTGCAAACTTTTGCATACTTTCTGGTAGAGCTTGCTTTGCTCTATCGAATGGTACCCTGGAGCCCTATTACAATTATGGAGTTCACGACTTATTGTCGTAAGAAATTAAAGTGTAACAAGACTTATATAACAACCTAATATTTATCTATTTTCCCATTCGTCCATCTCCTTCGACAAACTTCTCTAGGTACTTTAACTTGTGATTTAGAGTGGGTTCAAATTTTGACAAGTTGAAGGGAAGGGGAGTTAACTATTGGAGATCCAATCGCCAACGTTGTGCTGGGTGATGGAGCTATCATGTTGGCTGATAATTTTTATGCGCTTGTCTTCAGCTGAGAAATTCCAGAACCTTGTCAAATTTTTCGGGGATTTTGGAGAGGTCACCGGAAATCTGCAGAAAAATATTGTATTAGGGTGGCGGATAGTTTCTTTACACTTTTTTGTAAAATCCTGAAAAATGTTAGAAGTCCTCTAGAGCCTCCAGAGATGCTCCATATGTAGGCCACGGCAGGGCGTACACAACAATATTAACGATGCCGCAAATGCACAAATAGCTAGCACGTTTACGACAAGTTTATACACACTCAAAATTGCATTTTTCCTTTGGTTTCTTCTTTGCATTGATTATGCTTTTGCTCTCCCATAATTTTTTAAATCATATCGCATCGTCTCTTTTCTGGGAACACCACGCCAAAAACAAGGAGTAAAAAACAAATCAAAATTTCAAAAATTCGTCGAAAACTTTTCTTCTTGGGTGCATCGTGTAGGATTTGAAAAGGAAGGATTGAAACAGTCTTTGTAAATTCTTAAAAATTGTTCTTCATGCTAAAATGCGAATTGCGCAAAATGTAGCTCATGTGATCGTGTGCGGACATGATTGTGCCATCCCCCTACATTGCTAAAAACTATGGACCATATCCTGCCCGAATACCACATCGCCCGGTCTCTTCCCGATCACCTGGAACAATGCCAGCCGCTGACAAAAAATGTCCATAAAACGTACTTCCACCTACTGGGGTTCTGCGCAAGTACCACGGATCTACCAGTATTGATGGGTAGATCTTTGCACTCCGTCAACACTCCTTGAGCATGAGAATTTTTGAAAGTTTCTTAGGTTTTTGAGAAATAAAAATGAAAATGTAACAGAATTAATCCGCCAACCTAATAGATTGTATCCGCAAATTTAAAAGAATGGCTTTGAGAGGTAAAGTTCTGAGAAATCGCGCTCAAATGCGATTTACGCGGATTCTGGACGTATTTGTCAAAAGAAACAATGTTCTTGCTGACAGTTCGGGACTTTGTTTGAAAATCTTGGTTTCTCTTTTTTACCAAGCAGCTTTGTATTCATTGCAAATTACAGCATTGTCTATCAGGTAAGTCACTGAAGGTGATTTCGAGAAAAAATCATCTCCTTTCCACCTCATTCATGTAATAAAATTGGTGATTAGAAGCTTTCGAATTGGAGAAAAAGTAGTTGATATTAATATTATTGCTATACTACTACTATTACTATTACTGTTATTGTGGGCCCCTACAGCAGTGAATCAAGAGAAACGATCAGTCATGAAGTTAAATTCGTAGATAGTTAATACTTATAATTTGAGACTATTTCAGATTTATTATTTTCAGGAGAATTTTAAAAAGTCTATAAAGAGCGTGAATTTGTAGCAAAAAATCGAAAAAATTATCTCAAAGACAATGTCTCAGATTGGAGGCTTTTGTGCATGGAGCATACCATAATCACCGGGCATGTATAAACGCTGTCCCCGATGACTATCATTTCCCTTGGACCTCAGAATTTTGTGGAATTGTTACCATGGAAATCATAATGGTTACCTGGAATTCGGAATCGTTTTCAGGTGATGCGAGCGGAGGGCTGCTCAGTTTAAAACAAGATGTGGACGTGAAAATCCCTTCGTCTGGGGTTGTTGTTGCCGGGCGGCGATAGAAGTTAGGACTAGGACTGCCAACTGGAAAAGAGATAATCAAACAAATACCGGGATCTATAGTACATAAAGCCCACTTGTAACTCTATTATGTGCGATTACACAACATACACGCTACTCGTAAAATCCAGATCATTGCCATACAACAAGTAACTGATTCTTCAGGTTTCTTTTCAGCAGATCTTATTCTTTTCTGGCTCCAGGAAAATATGTAAACTTCGGAAGATGCACACATAATCGGAAGCAGGTCCAGGATAAGATCCTATATGTGTATGCTATGTGCAATTGCACAAGTCATTTTACAAAATGAATTCATATGTAATACATGGAATGAGCAAGGTATATTCTTTTCAGGTTTAGTTGCACGAAGTTTTTCTCAGTCTGCGGATCTCACCTGGTTGTTGAGAAATGTTCTCTCCATATGATGTAAATGTTGTTTCCCCATGTCGATTTTTGCTGAGTGATCCCAGGCAGGAAGTGTATCCCGGATATGGTGGCGGAGTGATAAAAATGCTGAAATACAAGGAGTTTGAAAAAATTCTGCTGGTCACCTAACATTCGGCAAATTATGATCATGTTCTGAAATCCCGACGCAAAAATTTAAAAATAAAATTTTTTCATCATTGCAGACATTGTTGATTTTCTTCACTCATTAACTTTGCGATATCAAAACCGCGGATACCAAAGAGCACGGGGAAGAGGTGGGAGAGAATTGGTTGCGAAATTGGTGAATTTTTCTTCCATGGGTTATGAAAATGTGCAAATGACTTGTTGATTCTTGTAAATAACAATTTAGCCTTGTGAAAGCCCACTTTTTCAACATTTTAGGGGTTATGGGGTGCAAAAATTAAGCACCTCAAAAAAGTTTTTTGGTGTGCTAAAAACGCCACGCATCTTTATTTGAAAAATTTTTTTTGCTGCTTTCATCCCCTCTCCTGGACGGAAATCCTCGGATTATCACTGCAAGATTTGTATGGCTATTTCGCGCGCCGATGCCTATGAGTCGAGGTGCACAAAAACAAACGCAACATGACACCGTACATAATTGACGCTGCTATTACGATTATACACTTAGTCTAACCTAAGTTATTTCATATTTTTGGAAAAATAGTTTTAACTGGAATTGTGCATGAGTTCACGATACGCTCGATCCACCGCTTCACTTATTATCTAGATGGCAGATGTCATTCTTACATTGAGAGCAAGTCCTGTAAAACTAGTTAAAAATCAGAAAGCGAGTAGCATATATGCACGAAATTGCAACTTCTGCAGCAAGGTCTAGTTCTCGAATAGGAACTCCAATAAGCGATATAATATGACTTTTACTCGATGTGATGGTTTACAAAAAGTAGCTTGCGCTGATCTCGATAAAATTCGAAAGTTTGATCTTGAGATCCTTTTGAACTGAGTTTCCACTGAAAATAGTGCTCAAAGAAATGCCATCATCACAAGATGTGGCTATTGAGTTGCAGTCAGGTAATGGAAATGGAGATTCATGCATTTGCACAGTTAAGCCACCTCGCAGCCGCTCAGACAGTTCAGCGGAACTTCCGCAGGACAAGCAAAATTTGCAGTTCCGCGGGATTTTGTTTACTACTGCAAAAGTGAAAACGTTGAGAATGAGAACTTTCGCATTATTTTCACGTCAAACTGATTGAAAACGCGAACTTCCGCAAGACTAATAACAAAACGCTGCGGAAATTTCGAAAAATGCCAGCAGTTCCGCAGCACTTTGACCTGCCAGTACTTCCGCAGATTTTGCAGTGTTGTATCATATGATGATGTCTCGCCAACAAGAGTGTACAGTCACACATTTCATCCGTAGTGCAGAGGATAGTGAGTCTCACAGTTAATAGAGCAAGGATTGAATCTGGCCTAGACGTTCTCTTTTACTGTTGTGTTTCGCATTCTTCGGGACTTCCGCAGCACGTTTACGAACATCCGCAGGTGACCCGGCGGAACTTCCCTAAACGTTCTGCGGAAGTTCCGGCCGTTTGTCTAAGCGCACATGCTTCACCTTAGCTTAGTCAGACAACTGTCTTGTCCTACATTTGAGATATACTGAGTTTCTGAGCCAATCTAAACGTCGCCTTATTTGCCCATTCATCCTCGCATGACAAAACAGTAATGTCTCGTATTTATTGGGTGAAATGACTGCATATGCGCATGCCTTTAATATTCACTTCAAAACTTGACGCCCATTTCAAGATCATTCAAAGAACGATCAAATTACTCACGCTTTTCAACGCAAACATCAAATTCTATTGGTTCCTTTCCTACAGATTTTTCTGCTGTCTTTCAATGTAGACAGTGCTATGAGCAAAGGGTTCCCATTAACCTTCAGGCATAGTGCTTTAGGACTTCCTGCGCAAGTTTTTCTCTATAAATGTTATAATTAGAATCCATAGTTAGTGAATGATGGCAACCCGTAAAGTCTGCGGAATGTTAGTGTAGCCATTCAGAAACTTTTTTTTGCATGATTAATTGCCCAGCAACTGTAATACGACATTTCCCCACCTGCGATGCTTGGAAATGTACGACATTTTGCTGCATTAGTCAGAAAGTATGATGTCTGGCTTTGAAACCATCATCGCTTTGGAATTAGTCAAACATTTCCGGGAAGAAAAAGCTACCATTACGAATTTGGGGTCTCACCTGCAAGTTCCGCGGGGACGTAGCTTGCGGGTGGTCTCCGTCGATCTGCATCCGCTGAACATTCCGCGCAGTACCGCACTGGCGGAGTGTAAATTACCTGCAATGAGCGATTTATAATAATCTTCAGCTTAAATAGATCCAAGCACGAATGAAACGACGAACTCGTCCTTATAATAAGCTGACAATAAGCGCTTCTAGATGAATATGTGCGTTTTTCCAGGGCGGAATACCTGCAGTGACGGGTCGGAAGGAACGAACAGGTTATGCTCACATAGATGAATACAGTGCTATAATTAGCCTGGACAATGACTGAGATTGGGAAAGTTTTTCCCCCTCAAGAAAAAGGTAGTGCTAGGCTTGTGCCCGACAAAACGATGCACATTGCCGGAACAAGAATCTCATGGCCTGATGTCCATGAATAGTCGCTAGAAAAACCCTATGATTACCTCGTTAAATTTCGCTTGAATGATCACACTGAACCAACCATGATCAGAATTTCCTGAATACCTGATGCGCACTGGTCTACTGGAAGAAAACACAATTTTTTAGAGAGTAAATGTAGCACATAAGGAAAGACAGGTGGGTTAGCTGCTTTCTTTCAAGGCTTGAGGCACACTCGGGACATATAACCATTAGGTCGGCTAAAAAATAATTTCGTTCTGGCAAGAAAATCTTCATAAATTTCCAGTTGTTCTTTATCCGTGATTTTATGCAGGTAATTAGTTCAAAGCTTCTTCCATCCCATATCAACTAAGAGGAATTTCCAGTTATCAGTAAGGGACAGTTATGCACCAACATGGCTAAAATTCTGAAAGCTCAATTCAGCGGCTCCTAAGCTCCGTTTTTATGCTCTAACGAATATGGAGAACAGCACTTTGATAGATTACAGACAAGTTTTCCTCACATGGGAATATCAACAAAAATTGTGACCCGCCATTCAAAAAATCTTTGACCGAAAAAACCAAATTCTCGCACATTTGGGCACAGTAAGAAAATTGGAGTCTTTCACTTCTTTGCGGATTTCTTTCAATGCAAAACATATTCTATTCAGACGGCTTTCATGTTCCAATTCTCATTGAGCTGCTCTTTTCAGAGCCTCGAATACTGGACAAAAAACTGTCTGCAGCATCTGTAAGAGTTGCAAAAGCGACCGAGATTATTTAATAGCCAACCTAATATTTCACGATCTTTACCGCTTTTGTTGATTCTCAGTTCTAACTCCTTAAAGTCAGTGCACGGAAAAATTCGGATCCTCCAAAGCGGCTGCTCAAGTAGCAGCTATGGTAGTTCAATGTGGTGTCCGAAAGTAAAGCTTAATACAGGAAATTTACATGGAGACAACGATCGGCTCCGAATTATGGTAGAAATAACTGAAAATGGTATATCAGCTACGAATGATGGTAGACTTCATTTACGAATTCACTCAGAATCTTTCAATTTTTGATTCCTTCCTTTTTTTAGAAGAGAAAGGCCAAATGTAGATACTGCAAATTTAGCTTGAAATTTTCCCGTTCTTTTTATAGTTTCTCAAAATTGCATTTGCCTTCTTCGAAATCTCAAGTCTTGATTTTTTAATCCTACCACGTTTATGGTTGCGATGGATTGGCTTTGGCGCACAAAAGCTTTTGTCTTCAAGGCCTAGACCTTTATCTTTGAATTGAAGATAAAGTGTAAGCAGGCCTCGGTACAGGTGGCTTATAAGCAAGCTGGATATCGTTTTTGGGACAACAAGCAAAGGGAGTAGGCTGAAAAACCCAAAGATTGCGGTTTTTTTAGTCGACGTTTCATCTTTTGAGAGTTTTTTTAAACTTTAGGGTTTGGGCTCAAAGGGAACTTCGTGAAAATTCGTGAAAGTCAAGGGAGATTTCGTTTTTTACACTTTCCGAAAACCACCTAGTGTCGAGCCCTGAGTGTAAGATTCTACATAGGCTTTGTTTTGCTTATGTAGCACGCTCTCACCTCCTTTCTGTTGAAAAAAAAGGAAAGTACACTCAACCTTAGCAATCATAACAATAACAAAAATAATGATGCAAGATTGTCTGAATACGACAAATCATCAGAGTATCTGGAACTAAGAGTAGTGAAAAAGTAGTGATACTAAGTGGTTTTATCAGGAACTAATATGTTGTGACAAAATTTCAAAATGCTATTTTCTCAAAAGTGACGCAAGTTAATGCAAAAAAAATTTTGCATCATGAGAATATTTAGTTTCGAATTTGGCAGTTACTACGACCAAGTGTCATTACGATGTTTTAACACATTCACGACAGGGCCGATTTTTTGCTGACTGCCATTTCGGACCAGAGCATATTTCGCAAAATTGAGTTTGCGGAATATTTTAGGTTACTGATGGGCCCTGTGGTCTGAAGTATAATATTAATTTTTTGGGAAGTACTCTAAGAGGTTACGCAGAAGTTTACTCGGCTTGTCTAAGAAGTTTCACCGTGAACTAGCAAAATCAAAAACTTCAGAAAGCGTACGACCCATACGACCCATCGGTGGGTCGTATTGTCCGAAATGGCAGAGCACGTACGACCCACCGGTGGGTCGTATTGTCGTGAATGTGTTAAGGGCAGCGCCCACCCAAAATCTACTCACTCCAGATTACTACTTATCCTTGTAGCTGGTCCTAAAAGTAGACAAAAGAGTTGATCCGGTCCCTCGATGTTGCCTACAAAAGGAGATAAAGTAGCGGACCCTCTTTGCGCTCCGCCCTTTTTTCTCGCGCCCCACCCACCCACATTGTTCCGAGACGTGTTCTGACATGACAAGCAACGTCGAGACGCATAGTTTGTGATGTGGTACTGTTGCACATGACGAGTCTCCTGTAGCAACGACGTGACTAGCGCCGAAGCACTCGTCCAAGTCTGCCAAAATGGGACTTCAGAAAGGGACAATTTTGAAGTTCTCTGGTGATTTGAGCCTCATGTCCCGAATCAGCGCCATGGAAAAGCCCGATAACAATAAAACAGGAAGACGAAATTCTGGGTGTACGCTGCCTCTAAAGATCAGGTAAAATTCTCCTCCTTTGATAATTAAAGATCTCAAGATGTAGTTGAATCTGTTGCTTACGCTGATTACTGAACAGTGTGTTGACTCTCTTTTTAAAGTATAGTAATGGCAATGCAAGATGTCCATTTTTTTGCGGGAATTCCGAAATTCGCAACACCTTTCGTGAAAACGAAGTTTCGGTACATTATAACCGTAATCGAGAAAACGGTAGAATTACGATAGTGATTATTGTTTGTGGCAGTGTTTCTATGTATAGTAATCAGAAAGGTTATAGAAAGCTGAAATTAACCTTAGCTGTGCTTCATATCACTCAATTGAACAAAGTCTTTTGTAAAAAGTGATTTTAGAATTACCTATCAAGGAAATTGAAGTTCAAGCAGGGTATATGTAAGAAGGCATCAGATTTTATCGGAGCAGAAAACTTTTTACTACCTAACAGGAACGATGAGAAAATGCAGCGTCCATTCAAGTGTCAAGTAGTGCAAACCGACACCCACTCGAGCAGATAGAGAGAGTTCTCATAATGTCAGAGTTATAAATCACATTGTGAAACCATGGCCGTTGAACCGATTGTGAAAGCAAAAAAACACTGCGGTTTGAGACTAGTTTGGCTCAGTAGGCAAGTTTTCCCATGGAACCGAGATCACATTTAAAAGAATTCACTTTTGTTGATTCACCACGCTTCATTAAGAGATTTTCTGAGGGAATTTGAGGATTTCTGAACGTAAGAAAACATGAATTCTTCAACTGTAGTTAGAAAAAGTTCAACTTATCTAACCTATAGCCAGGGGATGTGCTGTTTTGTACCCTTTTTATGACCGTAGTAAATCTGTTCCTGCACCTTTGAGCTGATCTTTGTCAAAACTGTCGAGTGACTAACAAGGGAATGGTCAGAAGTCGAAGTGGCCAATCCAATCAAGGTGCATACCATTCGATGCAGCATAGAATGCTGATTACAAATCTGTCTTCCGTATCTGCAGAGCGCCTTTGTAGGCGAAGTTATGAGCAGCTTTACTGCGGAAAATTCATACACAAAAACTGCGAAATTAGGCACATCATTGCTCTTTTAGCTCACCTTTAGGTACGAACCATATAAAGGAACTTAGTTGCATGTTTTGGTCCAACACTGAGCCGAGAATGGCTTTGTACGGCCAAGTTTGCCCCTCACACGCACAATTTCTTAGCAAAATAATGACCTTTGACGGCTTATAACTTCGCCTACAATGGCGCTGTGCAGATACGGAAGCAGATTTGTAATCAGCGTTCTATGCTGCATCGAATGGTATGCAGCTTGTTTAGATTGGCGACTTCGACTTCTGACCATTCCCTTGTAAGCGTAATCGATATCATTGGGTTTACCTCTATTGGTTCAAAGCGACTTTTCGCAAAGCTGAATCTACCGTATACCCCCCTTACCCAAACAAGCGCTTCTGAGTTCAGAAAAACTATGAGCTGTAGAATTTTGATCAAAATCAAAACTGATTGTCGCCTAACGCCTTTTTTCGGGTAGAGGACTATACAGAGTGTCCCAAAAAGATGTGCACACTGTTTGATCGTTAATAACTCTCTTGCTTTCATGTCTTTTGCCGAGCTTGAGGTGCCATTCTGTAGAGCGAGGATAAACTTAGATTTACAGTATTAAGCAAACTCTAATCTCTTTTTGCTACTGTGGGATTACGGTATGAACTTTCAGCATACAGCATCACTGTGGAATAAGCCTTTTGATGAAATAAATTTTAAAAAATCTAAAAAGTTGCGTAGCAAGGTTTTCAGGCGTGCTGATTTCACTACATAACCTTCCATCAGTTTTTCGAGCTTTCTTGATGACATATTCACATTTCTGCTGAACAATGGAAAATCAGTTGTTACCCTAAATCTGAAATAACTCATGAAAGAAACAGTGTACTGAAGCGCATCTTTCATATTTAGAATCAGCGACTACGATTAACCCAGTTCAAGAGTTTCTGGCTTATTTGGCTTTTTTCTGAGGCAAATACAGCTTTCCATTGCTTAAAATCCTCCTCGAAATTCCTACCGTAATCCTACAGTAATAAAAAGCGGCCGATAAGTCCCTCCATACTATAAAT